ATATATATGTGTATGTATACATACACATAATCATCTATCCTTTGTTTATACAGACTTCTCTGGATTTTATGTAAGCATAGACCACAAGCTAAATCCTTATTCTGGTACGAATTTAAGGTGATTTCTATCTAGCATCAATTAACATCTTTCTTGTGTTTGAATTTGCCAGAAAGCTGTTAAAAATAGAAAGCATTTTCATGCATGAAATTGGATCAGTCAGGATTCAATTATGGGCTATGTGACTAGTCATTAATTAGCCACAATTTATGTGGCTAGATGATTACTAATGGAAAATATTATATTTGCATTAAATATATTTACCTACTTCAGAAATCACAAATGCCTGTCTATAAATTCCCTACATTTTTGTTATTCACTCCAGTCATCAGTCCCTGAGTAAATTTTGCTGCCACCTAGCTAGAGAACTGACACAGTAGGATGCCATGGATAAGCATGATATAGTCTTAGTGTTAATTGCAATGAATTCTAAATTAGTATTATCAAGAAAGTCAAAGTAGATGTGCTAGAAGTCTGGCTCCTGCTAATGGCAATGAAACATTTTTTCTTCTGTAACAGACCTCAGCAGCCCTCAAAGATGATTAGCCAGCCCCAATCAACCTAAATTCTTACGTGTTAAGTGTTTTTTATTACACATTCTACGTATTAAAATCTGTATATGAACATGTAGAGTATCACTTTCCTTCTGCAACATTTCAGCTCTCTCCTCCTTAGTTGTCTGCTGCTACTCTTTGAAATTTTTATGCTTAAAGAATAAATTTTCTAACTGAGATTATTTTCTTCTAAATTTACTCTGCTCCTTCTACCTCTGCAGAAGTCTTGACTCTCCTACAGAAAGTAGCAAGCAGTTCCCACAGCAGGTAGCAGGCAGATATTTGGATGGATAAGGCAAGCACAAGTGCTACTTAACCATACCTTTCCCAGACAAGAACAGTGTCCAGTGCATAGCTACACAACCTGAAATCAGGCAGTTCCAAAATCCCTCGAGTCACTCAAGAGCAATGTAAATGGATAAAATAGGAAACAGATCCCTTAAGATCTGCAAATCTCTGCACAGAACCCACTATACCAGATCCCATTGCAGCAACAAAATTGTACAAACCACTGTAAGGGCTCAACATCTCATTTTCATACTGTTACCTTTGCTCTTTGCCATATTCACAAATTAGGGGAAAAAAAAAAACAAGTTAGAAATACACCACAAACCCTGCATAATGCTTGAATTATACAATTACATCTTTCATGGGCTCTGTAGGCCTCCAAGCTTCTAGTGTAGCTCTGTTAGGCTTATATAAATATATACCTCCTGTCCTCTGGAAACCCAGTTCATTTCAATCTGTAACGTAAATAGTTTCTTTTTAACCTGCAGCCTGTGCTGATTTCACCTTAATTATATATTTCCCATTGCAAGAACTCAAACTGTGGGATACTGGGAAAGAATTTAACTAGCAGCCTATAAAGCATAGGGGCTGAAGCTTGGCTTCCATTAACACCTCATTAGGCAGAGCCTATACTGTATGTAAAATGAGCTAAAGATTTTTAAATGTAGTTGTCAACCTATAACATAATAATGTAGAAACTTTATTTCTCTGTACTACAGAGTGAGTGACAGTAATTTTTATCTCTACAAATCAACATGAAGCTACTGGAGTACGTTATTACCCCAAGCAAGGTCTTCGTTGATCATCAGCAGCCACTGACCTTTAGCACAACCATACCACTAATATCGCAAGTGGTACTAATTGCTGTGTAAATTTTCTGATAGACAAAAGCTGGTGGTTTGAGGAAACACCTTCAAGTCCTGGATATAAATATAGTTCAGCTTACTAAAAATGAAGTTAAAACCATAAATTTACTATTAGGTGCTTATAGGATTGATTCTAATCCCACATAAAGGAATAACAAAATTCTCATTTTTGAATTTACTGCAAATAAAAACCATCCTCTTCCTTACCAAAAAGTCACCGTTACATTTTGCAATAACTTGACAGGTTTAGCAGTAGCTGAAGAATGTAGGACTTTCATCAACTCCCAATGAAGCTGAGTAAATGACCATAGAGTCATATGGGGGTTGCACAATATATTCCTTAATTGGCAAGGGGATTGTGGTATTCCTATCCATCAGGTGACCCCTCTGCACAAGGGTTAGGAACTGATCTTGTTGCAGTGGGTTTGGAGGCATGTGTGTGCTGCAGGTGAAAGCTGGTTTGCTGTGAGAGCAAAAAGTTCTCATTCACTGGCAGTTCACTACACTTTCACTGAGCATCACTTTTAAAGAAAAATAAAAGACAGAATTTCTGAATTTATAAAAATGAAGGAGTCTCTCTTTCTAATTTGTGGAAACTTTCTCTTGAGTGTTTAACGTAACAAGTTTTTAAAACAGACTAATTTTTAATACTTTTTCCATAACAAAACATCTGTGCATAGACCTCATCATACTCATCATAGAAGCTTTTAGCTTGCCAATCAGCACTCGCCTATCTTGCCACAGCCTGAATCCCAATTAACCAGTAGCATCCACAGTTACAAAGGCAGGCAGTGAGCAGGATTGCTTACTTTCATGATTCAGGGTCTTTGCAGAGAAATTTTAAACTGAATTTAAAGCTATTCCACACTGAAAACTCACACATATGGGCTTCATCATCCGTACCACACGGCAACTCACACGACAGGCTGGAGCAGCTTTGTGCAGAGGGTGCACGACCGCCTCCTTGTAACCACGCCGTGTCTAGCTGGTACCCACAGCAGCCTCTCTCTGGAGTAAATGCAATTAAGATGAGGGGCCCTCCTGCTGTTCCTATTTGATTAGTGAATACAGCATTACATTTACTCATTGTCTTCATGTTTGGTCGCTACATTCTTTTGGCTGGGAGGATTGCAATAGCTGTTCCCAGGGTGCAGGCAGGTATGCCATTTCTAATCTTTGGCTCAGGATACATGGTCAGGCACTCACTGACCACAACACTGCTTGTAAAATCAGTCGCTTTTCTTAAGTGTGATAAATGCGAGAGAGTGTTGTACAAGGTGAAATATAAGATGGTGATGTGCGTGAGTGCTCAAGGTAGAGAATTTGCTTGGGACAGATCATTCTGTGTCATTGGATCTGAGTAAACTGACATCAGGCAGGGGAGGTTTGGCCCTCTGTGAGAAGCGGATGTTTTAAAATCTCCTTGAAAATATCAGAGTTCAGATGTGTTATGGCCAAATTACTGGCTCCCTGCTGAAAATGGAAGTAGTATGCAGTGAAATGTACACTGATTCCAACCAGCGGAAAAACAATTACTTCTACAAGTGAGCACAGAAGCAGTTAATAGTTGCAGCACCATAGTAGGGAGCTTGCCAAAACCTGCATCTAACCCAGAGTCCTGAACCAACATAAGAGTGGGTCTATTTGTCTCATTTACTATGCTTTTCTCATCTCTCTTACCCCATCACATGCAAACAAATATCAATAATAATGATAGCCTTAGTAATTATACCTAGAAATAAAACAATGTTCAAATGCACATTTTCAAGAATAAGAGATGTGAAAGGGTTATATAATGAGCATTTGTCACTCATTCCTACTATACTCTGAAACTATACACTATAAAAGTAGTGGTTTATGTACTAAAAGGGAACATATAATTTATTTAATTGAGAGCAACTAATAGTTTATTTACAAGACAGCTTTCCATTACAAATCTTTCTTTCTTTAAAACGTATTTCACTGCCCTATTAAAGCAAACCCCTTTTCTTACAGCTTCCTAGCAAGACATTTAGACCAATTATCCTACTCTGCTTCTCCTTTCTTTATAATCGGTAATTTAGCTTGCTGTATAAAACACAATTAAACCTTGTTTAGACTAAAGCTGTCTACACGTGGAGCTGTAGCTGATGTTAATTCTTAAATCTTAGCCATACTTAAAATAGGTGTTCTAATGCACTTCACACTGATGCAGTTTAGTAATCACTTTCATAACCACAGAAATGTTCCTGAGTAAATTAGCATTTGTTCATTCCCAACTATGTCAGCAAAAAGCCATTTTCTTTTCATCTTTGCATAAGAGGTAATATCAGAATATTGCTGATTGGCCAGTCATCAGTTTATCTTCCACACTTACATTTTTTCATTCCTACTGGATTAACTGCCTGTCATGTATTTATTTCTAAGCACATAGTCTATAAATGTATGTACTGCTGCAGAATACTGAAATCTCATGATTGTGCAGAGATATTTTTTATATACACAGATTTAAATCCAAATTGTAGGGAAGAGTTTAAATAACATTCAATCCAGAACCAAACAAGGAGGTACTCTAAAGCAACTGAGGAACAATTGTTAAGGCTTCAGGTAAACTGAAACTTAAATAATTCAAAACAAAAAACAGTTGTAAGTACTCTACATACATATGTCAGAAAAAATAACAGTTTTGTTTCTTTGGGTAACTCAGTTAAACTGCAAGCAGACTTATATTGGCAGTTAGTCATTTTAATTATAGTGTGATGACACTTGCTAGTTTGGAAAATGAATCATACGGTTGCATAGGAATCCAGTCTTTTTGCCTTAGCTATATTTGTAGATAGAATTCTAAAAGTGAAACAGACATTTGATTGTTTAAGTGTTACTTGATGTATAAGGGTATATTTATTCAGCAATAATTTCAGGTTATCTTCTCCGTTTCTTTTCCTCTTATTAGACACCAGATATCCTTCTTAAAGTATGGAGGTTAAGACAGAATGACAAGAAAATCTAACATCCTTTCAGGTAGAAGAATACTTCGGTAGCCTAAAATCATCACCGTAAGTGTCTTAAATCTTCCTGAATTCAGTAAACCTAATTATAGATGCAGTTTAGTACAAGGAAACAACTCACGAGATTTCTGAACAGGAATATTTCACTCTGTCAAAGGACCATAATTTAACCCCAATGCAACACTTTCAGTGAAGTTAATGAACTTGCATTAGCATAAAGTCTTTAAAAACCTGACATACTGACCTACCTTTATGTGACAGACGTAACCTTGGCTGCCTTGTATCTGTTGCATGACATCCAGTCGGTAACTCTAGTAACAAGCCATATAGAGCCAGGATTAAAAGGTTCTGGGCAGATGCCATCCTGCCCAAGATCAAATTCTTGTGCTCTTCTCTGAACTGCTGCTGTTTGTTTGTTGTTTTGGTGGGTTTTTTTAAAGCTCCAAGTTCCACTTCTATTTTCCCAGTGCAGGTAGATGTCTCTCTTTGGTCAGTTTGTGGGTTAGCTCTATGGGAAATTCAGTGTTCATCAGAGCAGTACACAGCCTCAGATAGCCATTTGTTAAGCTGTGCAAATGTCATGTAAAAATATTCCCTCCCTAGGACAATTGTTTATAAAGTGCGAGGACATTCCAAGGCGTTACTCTGCAGTGTCGTGTCTTGAGCTCTCGTTAGTAACTCTGCCAGTGGATTCAGGAAGAAGCAGTATTTTCAGTCCCTCCTGCAAGGCAATTCATTCAGAGAAGCAGGGAGGAAAAAAAAAAAAAAAAAAAAAAAAAAAAGCACCCTCCTCCTTGGTGCTCTTCAGAACTCAACCCCTTGCTCTGACTTGCCAAACAGCTAGTTTTAATTCACCTTTCACCCTTGCTAATTAAAAACAAGAAGTGCCATTCCCGCCTGGAGTTGCAGGATTCACCCAGCGGGGAAGCCGGGCTGTCAGGCTGCTGGATTTACGGAGAAAGTTCAGGGAGGGTTGAGGCAATGCACAGTACTAGCTGTGTCTAGGAAGCGTTTTAATCCACGTGCCGTGCACTGATTCCTCAGTTGCTTCGTAGTTTCACGTTGTAAAGCATCGGCAGAAGAGTCAGAATTCCTCCCATCCCTTGCTTTCGAAAAGTCATTTCAGCTTTTGTTCCCAGCTCAGTTTTAGAGGAGGATTAACCCTTGAATTAACTATTTAAGTACATTATCACTTAGGGTCATTAAACAGCATGCTACTAAGTGGATCAGAATAAAAAGATTCCAGTTGTATATCCTTTCTTACTTTAAAGGAAAAGATTTAGCTTCTGTGATTGTTTTTTTTCCCTAATGTGGCTTCTCCCCATTACATTTTAAATGTCTGTAAGTCTGGAATCTTAGGTCATCTACACATGTCAGTAAAATTACTTATCTGACTAAATGCTTGTAGGATTGGGCAGTACTTAAAAAAAAATCTTGAACAGAGAGCTGTGGTAGCATGATAAACAACATCGGATTTGCAAATGTCAAGCAGCTGCCTCTTATATTGCAACTAACATGTACCAGAAAACTTGATTTCTTTTTCACGTCATTAGCAACTTAAAAATATACTCATGGCAAGAACTGATTTTTTTTAAAATAAAGATTATGTGTATGGGATCAAGGAATAAAGTTCTTTGTAGCTAAGATCTCATGTATAGAATCATTCAGAATTTTGTGAGATGCATTTTAGTCATTAATAATTGCATTTTTTTTTAAAGGGATGGAGCATTAGAGTCATTTCAAGTCTTTCTACTTCTCATTCTTTTATACAGGATAAGAATCACGAAGAAAGGAAAATTAAAACTAATATATGCACTTGACAATAATTCACTCTAAGAAACTTGGTAGCCAACAAAAGATAATGAGATCTGGAGAGAAAGATTTAATAGAAATTTCTGGATGCCAGCAAACTGAAAAGAACGCAGTACAATAACATAATGAAATGCTAATAATTGGAATAGCAGGATACGTGGATGGGGAGAAGACAGATCTATTCAAGAAGAATAAAAAATATGAACTACTACAACAGGAAAAAAAATGCAACTTCGATGAAAAGACGAAGTAAATCATGAGTATGCCCAAGGACTCCTGGAGGCTGTATAATCAGGAGCAGGTCATGTCTACCTGTTAGTTCACCAACAGTAGGTCACACGTACACATACCTGGGCTTGCTTTAAATCAGCTGGAAACCGGCGAGCAGCAGTTAAACCACAGGAGCAAGAGCTAAATCACACAGCTATTTGCTCTATTTCTTGCACACAACTGCAGGTTGCACAGAATTTTATGCTGATGTGCTGGCTGTCTGGCAGTAGCTCAGCATGTGTGCTTGAGACATTGTCAGTGGAGCAGAAGGCAATATATATGCTTTGCCTCCAAACACCAACATCAGCACAGATGAGTTTATCATCTACTTGATGGTGTTATTAGTATTGGCACCTTTCTGTAGTACTGGGGCATAAAAATGTGCTGCTTTTGACCATTAAGATCTGCTGTAAATGAGCATGACCTGGTGCCTGTTGAGGTGAGTGAAGACTCTGAAAACTTCAATTTGTCTTTGGGTGTGATTCTGTGAGTTTTTATTGAAATATTTATATTTTTCTCAAAAGAAAAATAAATTAATAGAGTGCTCAAAGACTCATTCTTTCTCATTATAAGTCTGTAAAATTTAAACATTTCCAATTCTGAGATAGTCCAAGTGGAATTTTTTCTTTGAAGGATGCTGATACGGAAAACTTAACACTCCTTCTAATTTAATGTGTTCTTCTTCAGAAAGGACACAAAAATCCAAGTGTGAGCTCACAGTACAAAAATTAAAACCATATTCAATGAAGAAAGCAAACATTATACAAACCGCAAAATCCTCCCTCTTTCCATAAGTCCTCTCCAAGCTGTAGCAGGGTGTTATTTATTAATTTTCCCAGGCTGCACATAAGATTGTAGATGTTCAACAGACTGGATAGTTAGACTTCAGGTATCCTGAAGTGGTACCAAAAATTTAGTGTGACAAGTTCAAAACAATTTCCCCAACTTTGAAGTTCTGGTTTCATTTTCCAGTTGCGGAAAGGGAATTGCGGGGGGGTGGAAGGGACAAGGGAACTGCTGGAAACTGTGGGTCTTATTTTGTGTTTAGATAAGAGGTAGGGTGCAGCAGGTCTATGCAAACAAGATACACATAGAAATAAGGGCAAATCCCCACCAACGTGAGCTCACATGCACTCACATGCATTTCTAACCCCACACGTCCCCAGCCATTGCACAGCTCTTTGGCTCCTCACAAGCACAATGTGGAACTCCAGTAGACTCAGAAATACCTGAACAAGCTGATTTTCATATTTATGCCTAAGGACAAAGCTTTTTTAGTCTGAAATCTGAGTCTCAAGCAGGGTGGGCCATGCGGGTGCCACAGGCTCCTGCCCTTGCCTGCCGAGGGAAGGGCTACAGAGTAGAGGTGCAGAAGTAGGAGCTGGAGCTGCCGCTCGACGTTAAGGCTTTGGCTGTCAGCAAGAGATGCCGGCATGGGAGAGAGCTGGGAATGGCTGCTGAGCACAAGGTAAGATGCCTGCACTGGAAAAAATCCTAACAGAATAAAAAAGGACAATTCCCATGTCAGTACATCGAGGAGGTTATTGTTTTTCCTAAGAAAAGCAAATGTTCTCACAGGGAGAATCCTCACTTTATTTTTCTCATATTGCTCTACAAAGATCGCAAGCCTTACGCCAGCCTCCACCCTTACACAACACGTTTAGATGCAAAGCCAGGAGTGGAAAGGTAAACAGAATTTCAAGTTAAGAGAAATGTGTGGCCTCAGGCAAGGCAGCCAAGCTCTTTGCCTCAGCATCTTTTCAATTAAATAGGCATATGCTCTTGCCTCAAGGAGTGTTTTGAGAGACTTCGTCCTAAAGGGTTTTAAACATTAGGTAGAAGGATGACAACAAAGATGTGCAAATATTAGGATTCAGTCTTAGATGCGTACAAACACAAATGCCCCAGGGCAGTGGAGCCTGCATGTAATACAGTGCTAGGTCTCTGAAGAGTAAACAAGGTGGGTTTACTGCTTATTTTCTGTTAATAAGGCAAATACAACAGATCTCTGTCAAACCTAAGTTTGTTTCAGTAGGAAAATCTCCAGTTCAGTAACTGCTGACAGATAAGTGAAAAATCATGCCTAGAAGTCTGTAAGTAAAGAGTATTTGAAAATTCAAAAGCAAATCCGATACTTTTTTGCTGCAGTAGAATTCCTATAATTACACTGTTCTAAAGAGGAAGAAGACAGGTTTTCTTAAAAGAAAATGAATAAAAAAGCTGGTGTGTATGTTTGAATTCTTTATGTACAATAAAGAAGTCCATTAAAAGAACTACAAATTAATTTTGAATTGCTATGTAAGGTCTGTGAGCCATAGTTTGATTTGCCATAGCCGCTGCAGAACCAGAGCAATTCTGGTGAAGTCATTGGGTGTAAATCTAAACACTCTAATAGAAAATGCTTCTGACATATTGTGTGAACTGATTAAGTTTAGCTGATAGACTGAAATGTAAACGCAGGAGCATGATATGAATAAGTAGATCTGCAGCTACTAGCACCAGTAACAAGTTCTAAATGTTATAATTCTAAAGCAAAATGAAGTGTTTAGAAAATTTGAAGCTGGAGTGGTCCAAGAATTCCCATAACCATAACTTAAAATCAGGTTTTAAAGTTGCAAGTCTGCCTCCTTGTTCTGATGACAATACACTGAGCCATGGTAGGAATTCTCTTTCTTTACTAGACAGTGGTTGCTGAGCAAAAGAAGGTGTGTAACCCAAGAGGAGCTGTGTGGCCTTCACTGAAGCTAATGATGACTGTATCTTCATTAATACTCTTAGCTGTGGTAGCTGTATCGCACAGGTAATCATATCTTCATTTATTTAGTAGACAACGTTTTAAAAGTTGCTTGAAGAACTTCTTCTCTTACAGTGTTTCATCTGCAAAGATTTTATGTCACTACTTATCCACCAGGCATTGCAGTTCGTACTGACACATTAGCTTTTGAATTCTACTATACAGAAATCCACACAACAGATGTAGGAGATGAAGGAAAGATCTATGTATCATGTGATTGTTATCTCTGCCTTATCTCTGTCTTTGAGGTGGAAATTCATGTCTGCTCCTGTCTCCATTACAAACTGGTAACTGACCCTCTTGCATCAGTAGTACTGGAGGAAATGGTAACACAAAACTGCTTGTCATGGGCGCAGTGTAGGTACTGCAACCACACAACTCCCAATCAACCCATTAAAAAATTCTGTGGACACATTAAGTAAGAGTGCAGACAAGACACAACAAGAACACGAATAAGCTGATCCAACAGGTGAGTAATCACACAACAATATCTTCTGGGATCTCTCTCA